CATGCAGAGTAGCCTAGTTAATACGACTATTACCTTTTCAAGTTATATTGGTACCGTACGGTACACTCTGGTAGGCATTGTGTGACTCATCAACTTCTTATTTCCTAAAATGATTAAGTTAACATTGATATTTACATACAAGCACTAGCGTAATGATCCCGATTCATAATCATGTTCCATATGTTATTCCATTGTGCAGTAAGTTGCCGTGTAGATTAGCGATACTCACGGTAACAACATACGTTGGCTGATCTTGTTACTTCACAGGAATACGCTGCACCACACCCAATGAACTAGATGTACAGGAAAAATACAGTCAGTAAAAGGAAAGGTATAGTCTTCATAGGTAAGAGTATCGACTGAATATGGAAAATAGTGCAGCCACTCCAAGTGCTCTTGGTGCCCAAACTTTCTAAAATTGCCTGTACGGAAGTCAGACTTAATATTTTGAAAGAAAAAAACGCCATATTTTTAGGCCGTATTAGGGCATTCCAACTTCACCGTTATAAATTCGAAAATCCTATTTTAAAGCATCGACATTAAAGCAGAAAGAAATTAGGATTTCCTAACGACAATGGTTGTTGTGTAGTAATGGTTGTTTCTGTGTGGTGTTTTGCAAACTTTGTGTGCTGTGCTCTTCGACTATTTAACATGGTTGCATGTAATGGTGGGATTCAGCCGGTTCGCACCGGTTCTATAGAACCGTCTCACGGAATTTTATGAGTTCAGTGAACCGGTTAGCATTACGGATTAGGGATTACTGTCAATGACTTTTTGTAACAGAACCGGGTGAAAAATATGACTTTTGTGATGGAACCGGCTGACAAAAAAATTGAATCCCACCACTGGTTGCATGTTTTACTTTAAAAGTATGTCATGTCCAGCGCGAACAATTCCTGCCGGCATCGGCATCGTGCTGGCGATAGTATGCCACAGCGTACGTGCACAAGTAGGTTAAAATCTACAGCCTAACCCAATTAAAACACTTTAATATTGTTAAGCCAAACTTGCAAATAAATTTGCTAAAGATTTACCCTCATATTCATACCGACTTCCTCGATGTCGCGTTATTTCAATTGGTTGATGTTTTCCTGTTCGCAACATTGTCTACAAATAACTTGTCAGGTCGTGTTACAAATTACTGTAACTCGTATTTCTTAGTTTTCAGTATAGGCCTACTTCTGCATGTACGATACTTGCTACATTCTTGGTATTTGGATGTTTAAAGTTTGTGGTCCAGTAGTTAAGCATTAGATATTTTATTGTATTTTATGTTTTGCGATTGCCTATATGGCAAGGTCCTACATTGGGTTGCAATGTGAAGCTGTCTTTCTATAAACCTTTCTCAGGGCATCGACTTCCTTGTTTACTCCGAGACATTGGCCAATCTGCAATATGCAAAAAGTGACGTAACAAGGGTACCCTTCGCATCCGCTCAGACACTTTTCTCACTCAGACAGATTTTCAAGCGTGGTTGGTTGTAAACATTGCCTCGTTTTCGCGTTTTGAACTCTATTCGTTGGTTTTCAGTTGTGTTTCGGAAACTTAAATATAAATCAGATAATTCAATGATCACTCTGTCTTCCTAGGAGTTTCAATTTAATTGCACTAATAAAAAATGAGACACTCCAGATATAAGATACTCCACTATTTTAACTATGCATAATACCTGCTAAATTCTCTATCCGACGAAGGATCAAGTTCAACACATTTTATTACCGTGACGGGTGAAGCAAACATTTCAAAAAAGCTTTCGTTATTTGGCATAAAACAAATTTTGCTTTAAACTGATTTTTTGAGAATATGTCGTAATTTTTATAAAAAACAATTTTTTAACATGTTAACGCACGATTTCGTATTTTTCAAAATTCACTTCTCACTTTTCACATAATTTATCTGTTATTGTTGATTTCCATTTTATAACCTAATTTTCATTATGAGACATATTGATTCACGAATAAGCAATTCGTCAGGTTTTATCAAATTCTGGAATGTCGTTTTATGTTATCCATTATGGTAGCCCGAACAAAGTCAGTCACATCCTCTTAGAGGCGGAAATTAGCGCAACGGCATTTCGTTCTCTATTTTCGTTGTACCATAGTTTTCTTAAACGATTGTTAATCAATATATAATAGCTTTGTCTTATAAAGTTCAGATAGTAACGCGATTTCTATAAGTACTGAGAATTTCATGCCACGCACACTATAATTAATCAGTGGAGAAATCAAATCGGTTTGGCATGGGTCAATGGACTCGGTTTAACGTTTTCCTTATAATTTCCGATTTGTTTTTAAATCAATGGCCGTGAATGAAATATAATGTTCTTACACTAATGCTGAGTGACATATTTTAGCTTATGAGAAGTGCAAAATCATGCAGGCTTCTGAAAATAGCCTGATATGGCAATAATTTTTATAGAAATATCAGTGATAGACCAGCTATCCATAGAGTTTATTAGACTATTATCAAGTTGACAAGACGTAATATATCTGCAAGAACATTATTTTTCAAACATAGAAAAACGGGACTAAAAGCGAATTGTTATTTGAATCAATATTGTACGAAAAAATTGTAGATCTGGAAATGTATTATTAAATAAAGATTTATATATGAGCAGGCATCTGAGATTTAAAATTAACTAGTCGTTATTTGTTGTCACTATTCTCAGTCTAAATTATATAAATAAATAATTTGTAATTTTGATCCATTTTGAATACCTAATTTTTCAGTGATTTTAATAGATTATATTTTATTAACATGAGGATGCAAATTTATTTGTTCAAATTTAGTTTCATCCAATTTATTTTTTTGGTGTCTTCAGAACAAACTGATATTAAATACCATGATTTCGTTTCAACAACAGGTAAGGAGAACCAGTATATCGTTGTGGCGTCAAGTATTTTCCGTGTAAAATGGTTGAATCGTCTGAGTCCTATTTTTAAGAAGACATTGCTTTGATTCAATGAGTTAAATTAGTTTCACAAGTCTACATCAAATACAACTGTGATAATTTTTCATTTGTGACTTAAGTCGAGAGCAGAACAAGTATATATCAGATCGGAGATCGAACAAATAACTATTCGCTATCAAGGAATATAGGGTTGAGGAAACCACCCCTACTGCTGGTTATTGAATGATAATTTCGTAATGTCGCCATCCATATTTGAGTTCTTTCCTATGCATATGACACGGGTCTGATTCTAATCAGGCGATGGTTTGACTGGTCGCAGCGTTTCAAAAACTTTTGCGATATACATTGTATTTGAGGCAATGATTATGTCTTTAGAAAACTAGGAAATTTTACTGCCACTCAAATTGAATAATTGATCTATATAAATGATGCATGTCCGAAAGTCAGCACAACCTGAACTCAGGTTAGGGTTAAAGTTATGCGACATCTTGGTGCGCATACTTCAGGAGGTCCTCAGACTTATTATTTTGAAATAAAAAACGCATATTTCTAGGCCGTATCAGGGCATTCCAACTTCCCCGTTATAAATTTGAAAAACCTATTTTAAAGCATCGCCATTAAAGCAAAAAGAAATTAGGAACTCCTAACGACAATGGTTGTTGTGTAGTAATGGTTGTTTCTGTGTGGTGTTTTGCAAATTTTGTGTGATGTAAATCTCCGAGTATTTAACATGGTTGCATGTTTTACTTTGAAAATGTATCATGTCCTGCGCGAACAATTCTTGACGACATCGTTCTGGCGATGCCACAGCGTACGTGCACAAGTAGGTTATATTCTACAGCCTAACGTACTTGAAACACTTTATGATTGTCAGACCAAACATGCAAAGAAATTCGTGAAGACTATTCATACCGATTTCCTCGATGTCGCGGTATTTTAATAGGTTGATGTTTCCTGTTCGGATCATTGTCTACAAATAACCTGTCAGGTCGTTTTACGAATTACTAGTACTTCTTAGTTTTTAGTAGGGTTACTCATGCATGTCCGATACTTGCTATATTCTTGGTATTTGGAATTTTAAAGTTTGTGGTTAAGTAGTACGCTCTTGATCTTTTATAATATTTCATTGCTTTTTATGTTAATGGCAAGTTCCTACATTGGGTTGTAATGTAAAGCTATCTTTCTTTTGAATAGTTTTATAACGAACCTTTGAACATGTCGTAATTCAAGGAAATTTTTTTTTTTTTCCACATAATTTTATCTTTTATTGTGGATTTCCATTTTATAACCCAATTTTTAATTGGACATATCAATTCACAAATAAACAATCGGATTTACGTTCTATATTTTTGTTGTATCATAGTTTTCTAAAACAATTGTTAGAATCGGTCCCGTTTAAAATAAAAGCAATATCTTAAACAAAATACCTCATAATAATAGCTATATTTTATACAGTTCAGGTAGTAACATGGTTTCAAAAGCGATTTCCTGAAGTACTGAGAATTCCATACCAAGCAAACTGAGATTTACCAGTAGAGAAAATCAAACCGGATTGGCATGAATCACCAGACGCGGTTCTAACTTTTTTCCTCAAAATTTCTGTTTTGTTCTCACTTAAATATAATGTACATACACTAACGTTGAGTGGCATATTTTAGCGTATGAGAAGTATGGGGCTCTTGGAAATATTCTAATATGTGACGGGTATAACTATATCTATTCAAAATGTTAGTAGCCTATACACATTCACTACTAGATCGGTGGAATTTATGAATCTAGAATGATTCTAAACGTTACACTACCACCAAGTGACGAGACGTGATATATCTTCAGATACAGTATTTTCCAAACATGGAAAAGCGAGTCAAAGTATGCAGAGTAAACAAACAACGGGGCGGAGAGTAAATTGTTATTTGAATCCATGTTGTCCGTTGGAATTGTAGATTTGAAAATGTCTTATCAAACACAGATTTAGATATAAGCAGGCATCTGGGATTTAAAATTAACGAGTCATTTTTGGTTTTTACTATCTTCTGTCTAAATTATCTATTGAAAAATAATGTTGTAATCAATCTATTTTATTTATATACATACTTGTTTTTTTTTCAGTGATACAATAGATTATATAATATTAACATGAAAGTTTATTTATTCAAATTTAGTTTTATCCAATTTATTTTGCTGGTATCTTCAGAACAATATCATGATTTGGTTTCAACAACAGGTAGGGAGAAAGAATCTGTTGTGTGTTTTCTGTTCAAAGTGGTTTAGATGAAGTGGTCTGAGTCTCATTTAGGAAGACTCATGAATTAAAGGAATTAAACTCATTTCACAAGTCTACATCAAATACAAATGTGTTAATTTGCCATTTGTGAATTAAATCAAGCGCAGAACAAGTATCAGATCAGAGATCAAACAACTAACTATTTGCTACAAAAGAATACAAGGTTGAGAAATCCATCCCAACTATTGACTGGTATTTTTGTCATGTCGCCATGCAACATCGGAGTCTTTTACTATGCATGTGACACGAGTCTGATTCGAATCAGACGATGGTTTGACTGGTCCTAGCGTTTCAGAACCTGTTACGATATATATTTTATTTGAGGCAATGGTTATACATTTCGAAAGCGTTTGCGATATATAATATATTAAATTAACATTCCATTATTTATTTTACAGCCTCGCAGGGGATTTCAGTTGGTGAAGTTACTCCAGAAGCAGGGATTTTCTGGGGAATTCCGTTTAGTCAACCACCCGTGGGAAAATATCGCTGGAGAAAACCTCGTCCTCCGTTAAATTTTAGCGGTGATTATTGGAATGCAACATATGCTAGACCAGGTTGTCCACAAACATGCGTTTTTAAAAAGAATAAATATAGATGTGTTCTTAAGGTATGAGGAAGATTTTCCTGTAGTAATTGTAGTCACTTTTTTGGTAGAATTTAATTATAAGTATGGTACAAAAATCCCGGTCCACGTATCATCGCTAAGTATTAGACACTTTGAATTTGAAGAAATCAGTTGTATGCCTCATAATTAGTTGGACGTCGATCTAAAATCCATGCGTTGAATTAAGGTTGTGCTTAGCGTAGTCGATTTGTCTTCAATTTGATGTCTTTCCATATTTTTCCCATGCGAATATTTATATTTAGTAAATTAAATGATTTACATAATTTTCAGTGACATTGTAACGACGGACAACTCCTTCCTTATACTTCTCTTTTCAATTATCGTTTTCTCTCAAACGTACTTCTCGTATTTCATAGACTTCCGAGAATTGCCTGCACTTGAACGTTTTCGTTCCAAGAAAAATACTCACAAAATCTACAACTAAAGGTGTAGTTGGACATCATCATTACGTCATAAAGGAAGATGTCAAAAATAACAAAAGCAAAGCACTTGCTGTAATGGTATTTGTGCACGGAGGAAATTACGTTCACGATTCCGCATCGCAAGTAATCTATGACTCCAGATACCTTGCCCATCGTGGGGATGTAATTGTTGTATCATTTGACTACAGGTAATGGACAATTTTTCTATCATAAAATTGAGATTTACACTTGATCAAAATATAATATTTAAAATATAGTTTTGATTTTAAGATTGGGACCACTTGGCTTTCTTGTACAAGGCGAAGGTAAAGATGCTGCGCTTGGTAACTACGGACTATGGGACGCTATTAAAGCATTCGAATGGGTTAAAAAGAACATTCAATATTTTGGTGGAAACCCAGACATGGTGAGTTTTGTTTCTTAAAAATAAACGGGAGATATAGCTTAGATTATACAGACACGAAAGTTATGCTGATCAAAGAGTTTGCTGAAAAGATCGATAGAGAAGCGTGACGGGAGTGATCAAGCGTGACGAAATATAAAAAAGTGTTTTCCCCTTTCGAAATAAATTAACAACATTTTTTACAATAGAAATTTGAAACTGATTCGCCCATTAGTTACAGAGAAAAGCGATTTTTCAACAACAACAAGAAAACCCCCAATAACAAGAGCAACAACAATTTAGCAAACGATCATAGGTCCACTCCGTGTCTGATAATGTGTTATTCATAACATAACTCCCTTTATATGTTATGGTATCTCAAGATTACAGCGTTTGGACAAAGTTCAGGAGCCGAGAGTTTGAGTATTTTGTTAACAACGTCACATGGAAATGATTTGTTCCATCGCGCTATACTTGAAAGCGATCCTCTAAGTTTGCCATTCAAGAATATGACGAACGCTAAAGACTTTGGAAATAGATTTGCACGAAAGATCGGATGCACTGCTGGAGATTTAAAATGCCTTCGAGGGGTGTAAGTTGCACAATATAGTATATTTTTAAATCTGTGTGACATGTGAAAGGGTGTAGCAGAGTGAAAATATTATGAATTTTTGTTTGCTCGTTCACACAAAATCTCAATTTCTCTTCCTTCATTTATATTTCAAAACAATTCTGACATTCCGAATAACCTGTCTCCGACTTTTAACATCAGAGTATGTATTTTGGAAATTTTGTTGGTGCTCAACTATACCCATGTAACAGATGTCGAACTTATACCTTCTGGTCTGTTATGTAGCACAATTCTAATGTTCTAAACTTTGTTCTTTATTATCTATTCATCAGAGATGTCGAGAAAATCGTGAGTTCATCTTCTGAGTCAGCATTCTCAATATTCAGTAAACAAAGTATATTGCAGCAAGGACAACAGTGGGGTCCTGTCATTGACAAAGACTTACTTTATGAATACCCTATCAATGCTTTTGAAAAGGTGAGCCCCGACTCTATTTTTTTCTTTGTAACTGATTTTTTTTATTATTGGCTGATAAGCAATCTTGACTGAGTATATACATACCGTATATAAGATACCCTGCACTGGTAGCGAAACCGTACTGGTACCTGTACAAGCGTAGCCGGCAACATAGGCAAAGGGCATCTTTAACGTTTACTGGTAATGTTGAAAGACAGCGTCAAACACAGTAGACTCGAAATTTAAATTAGATATTTGAACCTCGGGTGTCACTGCTCGATAGCCAGCTTTAGTTCCCCGCGACTTCCCTTCCCCAGTAAAAATGTGTAATTACCATGTTCTCATAATTTGTGTTCGATTGTTTTGTTGATTTACTGGTTGAATAAAAATAAACTCGACTTGACGCTGTTGCCCCGATTATTACGGACCCAAAAGTTATGCTAAATGTCTATCTGGTATTATAAATATTTGAATAACATGCCATATAATACAATGACATACCTTATTAAGCCGAAATAGAGAATATTTTTGTTTAATTGTGGTACTTCGAAGCTGTTTGAATTAATTTTGTATTTACTCTGAAATATTCTGCGTCTTTTTATTGTTATTCCGTATGAGTATTTTCCACTTGTCACTAATTAGTATTACAACTAATTAAAATTACGAACTCTAGCTGTTTTACATTGTGGGGCAGTATAGTTGCTTGCTGATATAGATCTGGTCAAGAGGCAACGGCGAGCGGCAAATTATAGAGTTTTAAGGTTTGGAATCTTGGATAAAACAAAAGTTTTTTTAATCATAGTATTGAAACTAAATCTTTAACCTGGGACGCCAAAGCGTTAACATCCTGACCTTCGAACCCAAAACACTGTCTAAACTGCCAAATTTTGGATCTTTTTTACCAATTCTTTTTACTTTTCAGGGACGTTTTCGCAAAATACCGATGATAATCGGCGGGAACTCTGCAGATGGATATCAATACGCTGAATTGTTATTTTCAGGATTTAAAATTTCACAGTTCATGTATCAACTATCGATGGATGTCATATTTAAATCTAATGCTAATTCAATGTTGAAGCAGTATCCGCCTAACGTGAGTAGTTTTTTTTGTATTATCAAACATGAATGTGATTTTTGTATGAATAATGTTGGAATAGTGGCTACAACTAATCATTCAAATATTTTCCGAACTGTTGTTATAGTATGCACTGAAATTCGGTCAGAGGAAATGGCTCAATATCCTATTCAATGATGAAACTACGCATATTTATTTGTTACTAACTGTGTGTCATTAGAACTAAATAATGTGGATACCGTGTTATCCCTTGGACTTTAAACTAGAGTCAAAATTTCGAGACTAAATCTGAATTTCTGGCAATGGGTTCGACCACGATTTTTACTGAACAATTCAGAAATTTGCGGGGTTATCGAAATTTAAAACAGTACACACAGAAGGTAAAAATATGAAAAGGAATCACAGTTATTCCTCAAACCATTGACCCTATCGCTGGGCTAAGCAACTTCCTTTCTGAATCGAATATTTCTTACCAATATGACCTAACAGGGAATTGGTTTTGACTTGACACTAACGAAGGGTTTTGGCCGCCAATAATTTGTGATTTCATTTCCTCTGATAAGGTAATTGGGATATGTATATAATGTAAAATGCAAACATATTACAAGTCGCGTATAAAAGTGACACATAAGAGAATTTAAAACTTTTCTTTGGGCACCCTTGAGCCCTTACTGTTTACTCTGATTTTGATGATATATTTGTGTCCATGTGACGAATTACTTTGCTTTCTTTTACTTACGATGTCTGAAATATTAAACAAAATTTACTCTCCATTACAGTGTTGTGATAACACGAAACAACTTACTGAAATTATAACAGACTACGTCTTTCTTTGCCCGGAGAGATCAGCTATGTTCAGAACGGAAAAAGATTCTTGGTTTTATATTTATGGCGGAACACTTCCATTCAAGGTAAATAGCAAGGTTGGGTAATGAGATGAATCAAAAACTACAAAATAAACGTTAATTTCAGAATTGTTCAAAAAAGAGATATACCGTAAATGCTCGTGAGTATGTTTAAAAAAATAAGCGCCCGGGCTATTAAACGAGCAAATACGGTATATGTCGAAAATGTACCGTGGCCATGGGAGAAAATTACTGCACTCCTTGCGCCGTTGGGTGGTTGACGTAATCTCTGGCCGGTTACTCCAACACCAAGTCCATGCATCTGAAACAAATTACTGATTACTAATTTTCATATCCGTCATAGATTGGTAATCGGACTAGAGTCCGTGGTTCTACATATGACTAAGTCGTCTCGTAGGCTTTCTTTTCCCCTGGATAAATAGGAAGATGATTACCCTATTTCCTTTTAATTATTCCTTCGGGCATACTTAGACGGTTTATATTTTGAGGAAAGTATTATCCCACTTTTTGAAATCACTATTTTTGTTCTGTCACCTGATGGAGCATATATATACAGTATATACACCTGAATAAAATGTGTCTACTTTCAGTCATTGTGGGCGTTCAAGGGGTGTGTAAATTTGGCTTGTCACGGAGCAGACATTGGTTCAGTATTTAATCCAGCACCTTTGACAAACTATCACCAATCGAAAAAAGAATACTATTTAGCAAGAAGAGTAGAGTACTACTGGACGAATTTTGCAAAATATGGAAATCCTAATGGAGCGCCAAAGGTAGGTTCATATGATTTGCATTTAATGGCTTTCACATCACTACTTGTAAAGCTTTGTCCCAGAATCAATTTTTTGCTAAGTTTGCATCGTTGTTTTATTTTAATTTCAACAGAAACACGGGCAGCAACAGGATGTTACAAATGATGTGGAAAAGCTCAGCATAGTTCAATGGGACAGATTTCACGATACAAATATTCGAGACTATAATACAATAGAGTTCTCTAACAATGGTGATAAAATGAGAAAAAATGTGCTGAAGAAAAAATGTGATTTCTGGGATAATCTTAATTTATATGGAAAATTATAGAATTATATATTTACAGTTTTATTTTAAGCATAATAGTTTATATATTCAGTAATAAAGGAATAAAGAACACAGTGAACAAAACCGTCCGAATCACCTTTCTCTTTTTCACATCACACTTGGAATACTGTAGCCCATGATTTTGATATTTTGAATATTTATTTCTAAAATTATAGTATACACTACTTATTTGTTTACTTGTTTGATAACTACTGAGTCAAATGCACGATTTTTGTTGTTTACCAAATTTCACCCACAACCACGCATCGCATAAAATAACTTTACACCTCAATTATTAAAATTGAAACTTTTTGTATCATAGCATATATAACCATATGCGCTATGTCCGGTTCTTATTGTTGTTTCTTTTGTCTATACAGAACATTATTATAAAGAAGTAAAAGTGCAAGCAAACTATATGTTGATATATAGATTGCTATCTATTACCTGCTTTCTCAATATGATTTGCTTATAATTTATTTATTAGAAACTTTGCCCTAGTTTACAATATCTCACATGAATATGCCACTTTGATTTGATATGAAGTTACTATTACTATGTTACTATTAAAGTACTCAAAATTTATTTGTTCACTTTGTATTACGATAATTTATTCAAAAAAAATTTCAGTAATTATGAATTTGGTTGCGCGAGACTAACTTCCTATCTCTCCTGTACGCCTTCATGCTGGTGGATCCGCTTGCGTATAATGCAAGGATGCTGTAGCAGGAATAGATACGACCAGTGGTGGGATTCAATGTTTTTGTCAGCCGGTTCCATCGCGAAATTTATATTTTTTACCCGGTTCTGTTACAAAAAGTCATTGAGAGTAACCAGTAATTCTAACCGGTTCGCTGATCTCATAAATTTCCGTGAGACGGTTCTATAGAACCGTTGCGAACGGGCTGAATCCAACCACTGGATACGACTATACTAAGCAAATTCGAGATTTCTGCTATTTGTTGTAAACTGCTTGTCTGAGGAAGTCAGAAGAAACGTTACAGAAATACATTCATGTTAGTGTGCAGGAGGACTCCTGGATTGATAAAAAAAATTAGTATACGCAAAAAAGTCAATGGGTATGTCCACTAGCTGATATAGCTATTATAGGTGGCAGAAGTTATTCCTCCAACAAATCGACGCATAGAAAAATAATCGCCATTCGTTATAAATAAAACACTTCGAGATTTGATTAGGATTTGTAATGACAAAGATATGAGGATGTTTGTTCATTTGCACATTATAGTCGTCGAAAAGAGATAGATAGATAGGTAGATTTTATTTCGATTCATTCTCAAAAAAATAAAACAATACACAAAAAAGAGAATGGCGAAGAATCTGGGAAGTGAACAAAACTTAAAAATAAGTTTATAACGTATCAAACGTGTTCACCCACCAAAGAAAGAAGAAAACAAATCACAACAAACATAAACAAATAAACATGAATATAAACGGTTGGTCAATATTCAGGCGTCTAACTTTATAATCAAATTACGTGTAATTATTTATAAATAAAATCGTGAACTGAATAGCAACATGTAAACAAACAACCGAACAAATTAAATGTAGATGAAAATGTGAACCTATGCCGGCATTTCGTGCTTAAAAAACTATCGAGTGATTGTCATAAAATCGACTATACTAAGCAAATTCTAAGAGCCCTACTAAATACTAAGATACAAATACTAAGAGCCCTACTGTAAATAACATTTTTATAAAAACTTGTGGGAACGGGAGGTAACGATAAAACCGCTCAGTTGGCACAAACCCTATCTATGTCACAGCAGTCCTAATCGAAGTTACACTGTATGATTTCTGTTTTTCAGGTGTGAGTGAACACGTACCGCTTCTTTTGACAACATCTTTTAAGTTTGAGTTTTGCACGCTTGTGTGTTAGATTTTGCTAGATTCCGTGAATCTGTAATCAGTTTTTATTTGTTATATTTTAATCAATTATTTTATTGCCCGTTCTGTAGTCGAAATAAACATATAGTAATATCTGGGGTTTCAGGGTTCAACGATGGTTGCTATGGAATTGTTGTCAAACCTACGCACTGATGCAGAACGGCCACAACTGGACCAAATTTGAGGAATGGATGTTGAAGTTTCAACTGGCGCAGTAGATCGATATTTAGGCGAAGAATTGAATAGTGTAGCTGGCGAGTCCCAAAAAAGCAATTGGGAAAATGAAAATCTTTCACAAATTCCCTTTAAAGTTTTCAGAGGGCATCGAGATGCTGTAAATTCTTGTGTGTTTTGCATTAATGGAACACACGTTTTAAGTGGGTCGGATGATGGCACCGCTAAGTTATGGAGCGCAAGGGGAACTAAACTCATCACAAATTATGCTGCACATACTGGCCCTGTATCTGCTGTAAAGGTTACAAAAGATTCAAAGCAATTTTTAACTTGCTCTTGGGATAAATCTGTGCGTTTATGGGATTTGGAAACTGGTAAAATATTATGGACTGGTAAGCATAATGGCATGGTCATGGCTGGTGATATATCTTTAGATGGAAAACTGGTTGTTTCTTGTTCCGATTTTGATAATGCTGTAAAAGTTTGGAATGCTGAAGATGGACAGGAACTAACAGAATTGAAAAATCATCATTCAAGTACACCAACATGCTGCTCATTTTCACCAAACGGACAACGAATTGTTTCAACAAGTTTTGACAAAGTTACAAAAATTTGGGACCGAGTTTCCGAGACGGTCACTGCCACACTGACCGATCATTTAAATATTGTGTCCAGTTGTTGTTTTAGTGAAAAGGAACGTTATCTTTGCACAGGTTCTTGGGACAAAACATTGAGACTATATGATATATCAACAGGAATGTATAGGACAAAGGGGTCAAAGGTTCTAGACAAAGGTCATGAGGGATGCGTTAGTTGCTGCAGATTTTCAACTGATGGTCAAACTTTGATATCAGGGGGGTATGATAAAGCTGTAATATTATGGGACGTATCAAACTATGTTAAAAAGTTGGTATTAAAAGGGCATGAAGATTGGATAACCGATGTCGATACGAGTATTGATAAAAAATGGATTTTATCGGCTTCGAAAGACAAAACAGTGAGAATGTGGAATATTGAAAATGCAGATCATATTCCAGCTGTCGTAGAAAGTCGACATGCGATGGGTCTAAAAATTATGCAATGTGAGAAATGTGGAAAATCATTTTCTATCGCACAACTAGAAGATGTCGTTGATACAAGTATTTGTGTTTTTTGTAGATTAGCTGATCCAGAAAGAAATACTTTACCTTCTATTTTATAATAATATTCTTGAAATATATTTTTGTACCCGTTGAGTAAACCAAAATGAAAAACCTTATTTTTTTTTTTTATAGAATCAACATTGATATATATGGGGCAGCTGCAGGGGCATAGCAAGGGGGGCTTGTAAAACAAAATCTATTTTTCCGTATCATACATGGCCCTTTTTCGTAGGTCGAAACGCATTTTAAATTCTCAAGAATTTAATATTGCTGGCTATGCCCCTTGAGCGGCTGTGTTTGAAAAAACTTCAATTTTTAACAATGGCCGTCTGATGTATTATGCCAAAGTGATTGAGAGAAAAGGTATTACAGTGGTTTTAACCACTGAAATATAAATTAATTTTCCTTTACCCCAGACAAGTTTTACAGTAAATCCTTTTCTCTTCCTCCCCTTAAGCTAGGAATAAGTCTATCATCAAATTGAGTAACTCCAGTAGACTAAGCGACACCTATTTTCTCCCTAGTTTGCTATTACACCAAAACCTATATACTGTGACTTTAATATTTAATAAAAGAGGTATGCACTCTATTGGACTCAATTGAAAATCATAGAAATGCCGAACACAGAAGGAAAATACTGTTAATTCTACTGCATCTTGTTGCATGGTCAGAATGGAGTTCTGGAGGTTATCTCTTTTTCTATAGCAAACTGATCCACAGAATTAGCAAAATATTATCTTTTCATGTCATACTGCTAACGTACGTACATGGATTAATCTGTTTGCTGGTATAACTCCCGCCATCAAAATTATCTCTGCTGCCCCCCTGGCCCCCATATAACTTGAGCAACTTCATATCATAAACCACATATCATTCCCTCCAATACCTGTGATTCTCAATTTTTCTATTTGTTCATATAAAACACATTTAATAGTTTTATCACATTATATTCAAGTGTAAAATACTAAAGGTGCAAGAAAAATGTGGCAATAAAAATTTCAGTTGATCAGATTTATACACGATTATGTAAAACGAAACTTGAATATTCAGAATAATATAGCCCAAAATTAAATGGGCGATAAATAAAATCATAGCGCTACAGGCTAGTATTTGTTCAACTAAATATATTGTTATATGGCTCTTCAACAAATTTTACATTTGTTCGGTGGCATTTGATCCTTCGTCGAAACTACTCTTTGTTACAAAACATTACATGAAAGACCTACTATTCAACAATGAATAAATATGCAGCATAACTATGCATTAATCATGTTATTTAGACCTTACTTATAGCCTTACTAAAAAAAAGTAATATTTTACGCCAAAGCTTGGTTGTATTCAAGCAAAACACATTTTTGAAAAATTTACAAAAAATCTAAAATTTTGTATTCATTTAACAATGTACCGCTTTATATATATTCTCCATATTAAAATATTACTACAATAAAAAGCTGGGTTACAAATATTTACCTCAGTCATAAATACAACACCAGAACAAGCACCAAAAATTATGATAATAAAAAATCAGTAATATTTCATCATCAAACACTACAAAAATAAAAATATAGATAAAATCACTAAAAAGAATGTAATTTAGACAAGATTCGGTTTCAGAAACTTGAGAACATTTTCATGATAAAATTTAGTACCTCAAAATTTATATCACTTGTCATTTTCATCTGTAACAAGTCAACAATAATATATGTACCATCGAAATACTCCAATTATAAATTGTATAAATTTCAACCAAATGCACCAGTTCAACATTGAGATATAGTGAGAATCTTAGTAAAAAAGCATACACATGTCAACGTAATTTAATGGAAATAAATACCTTTGTGCCAAACATTACATGTATAAACAACAGATACTCAGCAAATGTATTACTCAGTAACTGGAATTATTTTTTAGAAATGTGCATTGAGGATGACCATTATCATATTCTAGAAGTGTGCTTTGGAATTGATTTTTGCCCAATCAATACATATAATATTGTACAGCAAAAAATAATTTTTATCAAATAGTGCTTCCTAAACTATGAAAACCACTATAGCAAAAACAGTAGTTTTAGACCAGGAATATCGAATACTATTCGAAATTGGGTCGTTCAATATAAGACTTTACGTAAATCAATGCGTTTAACTTGGTAATGCGGAATACTTGAGCATTGTGTTAATTGATTTTTATGCTGTTCCAAGTAAAATGATCCCTACTATATGTCCAATCATCTGACATCGTATGCTTCAAATGACAGATTTTTAAAATGAAATTAATGTAAATTATTTATTTATATCAAATATAACCTATTTCAAATATATTCAATTCAGTTCAGTTAATGTCTTCTGTTAGGCCGGTTAAAATTTCAGTTTTCGATAAAACTAAACTATTTTAATTTCAAATATAATTAAATGTATTAACATATCGCAATCGATAAAACTTTATTGCGTTATCAGATTCTTTATTTTTCCAATGATTTTATTAATTTCAGAAATATAACCATCCTTGTTGATAATAATAAAGAGGATGTAAATCATAATTTCATTATCCGAAAGAAAACTCAGAATGGTTATCGTTGTCAAAATATTACATTTCAACCAAATTTTTTGGACTTCCCTAGAAAACATTAGAATATCTAGTAGAGACAATGCTCCTTGATTTAGACAGAAACATAAAAATAATCACAATGCTAAGTAAAAACAACAGGTGCATAACAAATATTTCATGCAATCATCTACAGATTACAATTGTTTTATACAATATATACCTTGAACAAATATACAACATGATTGTCAAACTGCCAGATTTGGCAACTTTCACAATAAGCATGCAAAAATAAAATTCAGAGCAATTCACAATTAATATTATATTGAATCGTATACATTTGACTGTAATGAATGTATGAACTGATAATAACAGTTTTTAATCTTGGAAAGAAAAAATTATCCAGACAGCGTTTGATATATACAGTTAGAGTCAATTTACAAGTCATTCTGTAGATATTAAAAATGTGAAATGATCAACAACTTTAATAGCAGATACTTCAAAATACAATAAAATTTTAAAAATGAATAAGAGCACAGGATATCCTGGATTTTTGATTTGTTACCAAAGCAATTACTTGAATCTACAATAGCAATCCATGTCATCAATATTTATTCATGGGTTTAAGAAAAATCACTTTAATACACAGCAAGCTGTTTATTCATTCCGCTTATTATATAGCCTATTGTCTATGGACAATAGGCACATTATTCACATGCTATTATTTTACAGCTTTAGCTTATAAGATTTATTAGCCATACAAAGACATACAACATTACAGAATAAAACTGTGAAACTGGCTTATATTGTATTTCCAATTTAGCTCAATTGTTGACTGCCTCTTGACCCCATTCAAACTCTTGTTTCCAACGCCGTAAAATGACTTGTTGCATTCCATATTTCTCTGAAGTGCCTGCATACAAGAAAGGTTCAAGTACCGCCGATGACTTAGTCGTTGCATCCATATATTAAGCAAGAGGTAATGTCTGTTTCATGCTTATCACAACATTAATTTGTATTCAAATTCTAAACTGCAGTATCAAAGCCATGAGCTGGAGGCCCCGGTCTTGCTTTAGGATGTGTATGGGTTGGAGCGTGCGAATAATGCTGGTGTCCTGGGTAAGGAGCTCTAATTGAGGCTGCCATTGCGGCTTTATATTGTTCCATATTGTACCCCGCTACATTCTGAGGTGGGTGATGATGCTGGTGCTGCGGTGTTGGTCCCATAGAGTGAAAATGCCCCATGGGGTATCCAGGGCAGGGTGGTCTTGTGACTTGCAACCTCTCGGATGCTGATCTTTTGGGTTGGTATGGTACAGACGGAGGTGCAATGTCCCTTCTAGCAATTGGTTTGCCTGTCCCGGGTGGCGCTGTCTTCGTCGGCGACCTAGGTGGTGAATGTGTATCAGCTGAGCCGACAGAATGAGAACTGCGACTGAGAGGAGTCGATCGAGTGCTGTTCGAGGATTTAGAATGATTGGTGGTTTGTGATCCGGCATTTTGTCTTGTATTGCGATCTTTCATCGACATAGGTTTCGGTTCTGGCTTGGTGTTTTTCATTCCATTTATCTGTGTAGCGTTATTGTTGTTATTATTCGAATTTGACGTTTTGAGTGGAACAATCACTTCCGTTGCAGAATGACTTAGATCAGATGGAGTCGAAGATGACGTTCTTGATAAACTTCTAGATGAGGTGCCATCGATTCCATCTGCATTTGTTCGCCGCTCATTCGAATGGCTGTTGTTATCGATCTCGTCTAAATTACTATCATCCGAGTATTCCGAATCAGACCTGTCATCCACAAAAGGTATTTCCGATGTTTTTTTGTTGTTTTCGACAGCACTTTTTGCTTTATTTGCAGGTGGTTCATGTGCTGTTTCTTTGGACACAACCATTCTCGGTGGTTTTTGAACCATATTAGGCGATTCGTCTCTTGGAATAGCAGATGGTTGTTTAGGAACACCTGTTTTCAATACCGGTTCATTTTTCTCTGCAACATTCGGGACAGAAGTCGCTGATTTCAGAGTTGGTTTCCTATCAATTCCATTGGAAACACTGCCCTTCGGCGACACTGTTTTCCCAGGTTCTGATCTTGCGGTAAGCGGTGCATCTTTATTTGGTGGTTCTGCTGATTTAGGGCGTGGTGTAATAGTGGGGCGTGGCCTTGGTTCTGGTGTTTCGATTGGTGGAGGGGGATCATGCACCGGCGACGATACAGTTGCTGCTGTCACAGAATCATATGTAGGAGGGGGTGGCGGTGGTGCTTTATACTTTGATGATGGTTTTGGCTTGTTTTCTGATAAAAAATAGAATATTTCGATTAGAATTACAAACTTCGTTTAATTGAAACAATTCATATATTCAAACGACATACATGTTAAAGTACAGGCTTGTGTTAAATCCAGGCAAGCTTAAAAAAATAAAAAGCAAATCTCAATAATGAGACATCGAACATATATACACATATATATCAATGGTATTTACAAATGAGCAAAATGATATTTTATACAGGAATAACAAAAATTGAATCATTTAATATTCCGAATAATGCTCAATATGGCATATGGTTTTCATATATTTTGAATTGGGTCATGTTTGCAGAAATTATTGAAAATTTTGTATTCATAGAATTATAAGTAACCTTGTGATCCAAGTTACACAAAGCTTTAGCAATACAAGAAATATGAGCTTTCACAAAAGATATCTTCTACAGAATGAGTACAAAATTTAGACATTTTAAAATGAAGTCGCACAACCTGGTGATGTTTGTTTCGTAGGTGATTTTTTTTCTTGCAATCCCTGCAACTTTTTTGCACCTATTTTTTCCATCTTTCCTATATTACCATTTGAACTTTTTTCAACTTGTGCTACAACAGTACGAGCATTTGCTGGAGGAGATTTTACTAAAATAAAACATTGTTAGTTATCTATGATTAGGGGCCAAACTGATTTTCAAGATTTTTTGGGTAGTAAAAGTATAAAAAAGTTAAACGCTTTCGTTTCAAAGTCTACTAAAAAAATTTCAAATCACATTGATGTCAGGTCATATCATCATACATACCTATATTAGAAAAAATCTGGCCCATAATTACTATTAATGAAGCAATGTATAAAATGAATGCACTGGTACTATGCCCACAGTTGGCTGCGCATTTTTATTAAAAGTAAAAAGATTTTGATTACATAACATGGAGCCCAGAAAAAATTTGAATAATACAAAGGATAACAGCTTTTAACATGTTTCTTATATTCTTAAATACTGCAACGAAAAGCAAGAAAAACAATTCATAAGTCAACTTCATATAGAATCATCATTAACCTTCTCACCTGGTTTAGGATGAGTGTCAGGTTTGCTCTTTCCGTCAGCTCCACTTCTAGGTTCGTTTTCTAATTCCCATTCCTCACTTCCAGTCGTACTTGAATATTCTGATTCGCTGTCACTTTCACGAGAACGGTCTCGATCTCCTGACATTACATCGTCCAATCGTACAATATCTTTCTTAATGCCCTTTGACCCAGCCGAGATATTTTTGGACGAAGCTGTAGAAGTGGATGAACTGGAAACTCCACTTGGACTCGCTAATTTTTTTATATTACCGTCTGATGACTTTTTAACTGAAATAAAAAGTTTAAAAGTCGAATTTGGGATGGGTTGTATAAAGTTGGGACTAATGAAAAAATAGTTAACAGAATTGGAATTATTGGAAGATTTCTCAAACTGGGACGTTGGCCCTATATGGGGTCAGCATTCTCAGGGGGCAATGAGCAAAGGCATTTAGTCTACTTTTGATTTGTTCAATTTTCGATTGTAATGCATTTATTCATTTACTTTTGTTTTCTGGATTTTAAGTGTTCAACAGGAAGAAAAGTAACTATGAAAACTCAATGGAAACAACTGTTTTTTTTCTTTATATAAAAGGGGGGGGGACACGAAGTGTTGAGAGCCATTGGTCAGTCAGCTAATAATATGCTCTATAATTGTTTTAGGGTGGGTGGGATCTATCCTGTTTATATGCTTCGGACTTAAACCCGCTACAGCAGTGTCGCTTATAACTCAAGAAAAACACTAAAAACAATATTCGAAGGTCGTGATACTTGACTTGATTCAAACATCCCTGCTCAGTAACCTCATACATTCAATAATTGGGTAAACACTTTTAAAAAAACAAACAACAACCTACCAGGAGATTTCACTTTATTTGGGCTGGGATATTTATTTGCATGCATTTGTTTTGATCCTTGTTCGAATGGGGCAGATGCCCCGTCACCCTGATCCATGCTCCTGGCATTCTCTGATTGTGCACCTGTCGTCACATTACTTCTTGCTGTCGGTGCTGTTGCACCAAGAAGACTTGATGCTTGACCCGGTGGAGAAGCTCTTTGTCTGGGTCTAGGAATTCTAAAACAGAAAAAATGATTTTTTATATTTACTCTGGGTAGGGAAAGTCAATAAGTCAACTAAAGCATGTAACGAAACATTGCCTCTCATTCTGACACGATATAAAAATAATTAACTGTTCCTTGTACAAGGGCGGGACTATTGAGAATTCGATCAGCTCTTATGTGACTACGATGAGTCCAGCAATCCTCTCACACATAACCATCCATCAGTTTCACATACCTCACTCAGGGTAACAAGTAATGCCCCATCAAAGAAAAACCGTATATTTCTGTTAGAAATATGTCAAGCAATATAAAAAATTGGACGCTCTGCTAAATAGGTAAACCTATATCATACCTGTCTTGGTCCATCAAGTTATCTGAGCTACCACTCGGGCGTACTGTATTATTTGGATGTGCAGATCTACGCTTCTGTGACATCCCAAGTCCGCTTCTACCACTTTGGACCGAAGCAATGCGAGATAGTTTACCTAAAACAAAAAATATATCTATACTCAACCATGTAAATAATTAATCGAGATTAAAAAATAAATTAAAAATCACTATTTCAGGTAAATAGCATAATAACATATTTTCAATATGATAGGTATAATATCAGTTAGATGTTAATAAATTAAATACAGTATTGCTTTCTAAGTTAATGGGTTTTGAGCTAATACACTTACTGCTAGGAGGATCTTGTCCTTTTAGAAATCTATCAATTTTTGCAACACATGCATCTTGGTATTCATGAATCCATCTGTAGATCGAGAAAAGCAAATAAAAAACAATTAAATAAACAATAAAAAGGTAGCAATCATAAAATAAAAAAGTGGAAATATCTGGCTTGAATTGGATCTGATCCAAATACTCATTAATACACTTAAACTATAGAAAAAAACAAATGCTCATAAAAGTATACAAAACTATATGTATTGTTTGACAAGTAAAAATTTGAAATTTTAAGAAGAACCCTGAGAACAAAAAGATGAGTCAATTTTTATTTTCCATATTCATGGATAGTCAGTCAAATGGTGAAAAATTTAAACCTAGCAAATATTGTTGCTGAATGTCTGTCACTAACCAGGTTCTAAATTTGCCAGCATTTTTCCAAAACACATTGTGAATACCTTTTTCTGATGCAAATTTAACGACAAAAAGAGCACATAAACCACCTAACCATAACTGAAAGCGAAGTACGAATAAATACATAGAAAACCGAATTTTTCATGCTCGTTTTCCCTTAAATTCGCTCAATCACAAATTCACAATAATAGGAATACAATGGCTAACACAAGGCTGCTGAAGTATTGAAGCCAGCCAAATGACTAGAGTTAAAGCGAGTTCAAACAAAGAAGTCAACTTTTATTTAGACTTCCAATGTTAGATCTAATACAAGCCACAATTTTTTTCTGATGTAGCTTGTAATACCAATCTTATTTATACTTACTTTACTCCATTATAAAAGCAAATAGGAGCAATATCTTGCGGCAGATCTTCCGGTAGAGGCCACTGGAATGTTTCTGTGGTGACTGGGACTATATTTCTTCGGTTTCCTATTGCAGTTACAATTTCCTGAACATGAGAATAATCAGTGAGATAACTCAGGAACAAAATATATAACTTTTCTTTGTCATGATTCAATGGAAATGAAGGCAAATTTATTTCAACATTATCAAGATTTTTGTAAAGAAAGTGTATAATTGTTGGTGAAAAAAGCAATTTCTATAGCATACATAGCAATTTGTCGTAGCTTGACACAGATTTTAGACCCCATGACTCTTGAAAACCCACATTTTCGGACCCGCTTCCTGCTCGACAATATAGTGACTAGCGCATTTGTCTGATTACCATGTCATTGCACTCTATAAATTCTGAGTACAAACACACTCAATCAGAAAACGCTAGAACACATTCCATACTCAGTTTCGTTAAATTCCTCCACTAGCCTATTTCGAAACTTTTTATTCTCCATCACCCCTCAATATACATGATCAATACTCAATGAACCCTTAGCAAGTATTATGCGCGAGTAACAATCATGCTTTTGTAGGCTATAGTTTCAACCAGAAAATCATATCCATAAGCCTACCTTGTGCAGCCAATCGGTTCCTTCATGATCGATAGCGCATTTATCCAAAGCACCAGCAGTCAATATTAATATAAATCCTGCTGTAACAGACTTCACACTCTTCAAGGTACGATCTGCAAAATCACCTTCCTGTAAACTATCAACATCTAGAAATACCCTGTAGCCTCGAACTTGGAGATGAACTTTGAGAAGGCTGAAACGGAAATGAAAGATTTCGAAAATTAATATGTAAACAGGGATTTTGACATAGTTAGTGATCGTGATTCGAGTTATCCGCAGAGCAAAATATAGTCCGGAGAATTTTTAAGACTTCACAGGCCATTTAGGGCTAATCGCCTTGATCATATACAGCATTTTTGTGAAATATAAATACAATTCCCAACTTCGGCGATCTTTCTAACATCTAAACATTCAAATATTTTTACATGATTGATTATTATTATCCAATTACCTTGCAAGATGAGATCCATTGTTTCTTCTGTAACTTATAAAAACGTCGTGATCTGTAGATATTGCTTGTCCCATCTCATCTACTACTGTGTTATTGTCAAAATCTAATAATCAAAGTAAAGAAAATAATAAAAGTATTGGACGGTCAAAAAGTTAGCATCATAGGTTGAATAAATTGGGATCAAAGCATTGTTTTGTAAAAGTATATAGACTTTGAGCAGCGAGTCAAAGGTCATCGAAGTCTTGAGCCAAATTTGATCCCCAATTCGAATCTCTCGCCAACATAAGTTCATACACTGGCAAGTCTCTTGTTTATTTCAAGTCAAGCAAGTCACACAAAATATAAAAAACTGGGAATGCTATGACTGACAAGCAAAGAAAATTACAATGGACAATTTCTAGAGCCTGTTAAGAGTGGGTGAGTATTTCATGTTGATCCCCTTGGGAGAGGAAAGGAGAAAAGAGCGGTTTTCTCATCTGGTGAACTCAACGTGCTATTAACCAACAACTGAATATACAAAACACCTCCTTAAGTTAACAAATTCAATGATAGACGATTACTTTGTATAGATGCCAATATTCTTGTTCTGTGTACTCCATTATCAATTCCACAATCATCTCGTAAATGAGCGTCAGTCATTATGGGTAGAAACGAACGATCGACACCAGCTTGTAAAAATCTGTATGTGTATTGAGCAAACTTTGGTTCGATTTGTCTCAGCCATTCACATATTCCTGTCGTATCGACTGAGCGATAATCAGCTCCAGCACGAAGACGATTCAAATCCCGGATAAATCTGGTGTTATAGAAATTAATAGGTTATCACAGTCTACATAAAATGTGTGATAAACTGTCCGATTATGATTCATTTTCAATTCGTATTTTCGTTCTTTCGAAAAATAATAACATTACTCCTCGAAAATATCACAGCAATTTGTGGACGTAAAATGTCTGGTAATTAGCTAGCTTGTAGATAACAGCTATTCTTGTTTATTATATGCAACTTCCTTCATACAATGAGAAAAGTTTCTATTATTTTATTTTCGAATAAATTTGATATTTCCGAGTCGAAAAGAGTTTTTTATACTGTATTCGAAATAGTGAATAGTCGTGTTGGCCATCCCTGGGGAAAATAACTCGAGAAAAATTTGAATCACCTTTTCTTATAAACAAATATTTATTCGTGGAATCTAAAAACAACCATTTTGCCACCTACAAATTAATCTATTTCATATTTAAATTTGTAATATTGCTAAATAAATATGTACATTGGTCACTGAGTGGTTGGTTACTCCTGACTGGATTCTTGAAATAAACATGAAAAATTTTATTTTGAAAAATTATTCATATCGATTCATCAATCACCAAGTATGGTGCATGTAAAACTCAAGAAGAGAAGAGGTTTTAAACCAAAACAAGCTTGATCTGATATTGCAATATGTGTACACAGTTATAATAAAATAGTTTCAAGTAAATGAGTTGAATATTCCAATTTAGCCTTTTTCATTCAAGTATTCCCAATCACTTCGATGTATGGAACACTGTATACAACTGTAAAAAATTGTTTCTTGGTGGCTACACATATGACTGAGGTATAATATCCATAAATTCGATGTTTTACCGACCTTTTTCTGTGAACGTTATTAGCCATGCTCAAATCTTCTTTCAATTCTCTCTCTGTTAGAAGCAATAACATTTCACCATCAACAGTAGAAGCTCGGAACGATGCGTGAAAAGCTCGAAAACCAGCAACGGTCAGCCACGACTGGACATCTTCCATATCCCACAGATGAATCTGATCACAACAAAAATATATTAGTTATTTTATCATTTAACATATATGATCGAGTATTCATATGCTTTTCGCTCCAAACAAGACACTGCATAAGCATCCACTGATGTTAAAGAGATAATATAGTTAAGAATGATCAAATCTTTTCGGCTCGGTATTGCCTACCCAATTTATTGCACCCTGGGTTAGGCGGTGGCCGGTGGGCATGGGATTTAACCCAAGATGTAACCTGTAATGCCATTATAGTTTAATATGGGATGCATATATGTAACTAGTAAAAAAGGTTATTTGCTACAATTTTTAACAGTTATTTTTTGGTGTGAAAAATACATTACAAGTAAATGACTCTATTCAATGCACAATAAAAAACATTTCAATTTTTCATCCCAATTAAAGTAAAAAGTTAATAAAAACAATTATTTCCTAGTATGATGCACACAATCATACTCCTATTTGTGGTACATTTTAAAAAGAATAATGCTTAGGAAAAACATAAAAAAATGATGATTCACTGCACGATAAAAACATTTCAATTTTACCTCCCAATTAAATTGAATGAAAATAATTATTTTCCAGTATTCTACACAAAATTAAACTTTTGTGGTACAATTTAAAAATAAAATGCATCGAAAAAACATGAAAAAATAATTTATGAAATTCAATTTCTAAACCATATTCCATTAGAAAAAATTTAAATCGCCTTGTAAAAGGGAATTCCTAATCCCATAGGTACATTTGAGAATCCCAAAATAAATTTGAACAAAGAAATTTAATCATAGCGAGATTTAGTCAAACAATGTCGACTTAGAAGCCATAGCTTTTAACACATAATGACAATGCTGCAGATTTTTTGAAATCTTTATTGGCCTGTCACGATGTTATTAAAGAGAACTGAATGACAATAATAATTTATGAATGATATAATTTTGTCTTAAAATTTTCTCAAATATTTCAATTTCAAAATTTTTCAATTAAGCACAAAAAATTAAAAAACAGAGACAAACTTGAACTTAAACTAGTTTTTACAAACATCAAAAGATATACTATTATGTATGTATTTACCTTCTAAACATGGTAAGTTTCACTATTTTAATGCTAAAGTAAATATTTCACCAATTTAGTCATGTATTATTCAGATATATTTATATTACTATCTGAATATGAGCATGTTGGAGAAGCAAAGCAAAGAGTCAATAAATTTTCAAAGGAAACTTGCTCAAAACAAGGTCACGCGCACTCACTCCGACATAAAAGAAATATCCTCGTAAAAGTTACGATCAAACACTAAAGTGAAAAGAACTACTAAGGCTATAAATAATTATGGGGCAGAATTGCGAATTAATACGAATGACGCGAGATTTAGGGTGGTTCATGTCAATAACGATCAAGAAAAAAGCTACGAGTAGTGACTTCTGCATAACTGGTAATCATTTATTTACCTTAACTATTGAAATAGTAGTATGGTTTATTGCAGCGATTTCAACCTTTTTTTCAAAGTTTTTGAAACTCACGGCCCTAGGATATTCTCAAACACTAAATGACATAAAGTGCATTTATGGAATCAAAAAAATCTACCACATACAAAACAATGATTTATAAATATAGATTATTTATTCTACAAGAAGCTGCTTCAAAGTGAGAACACGCTTGTTTTCTGTCAACAAGTTTTAGAAATCATGGCGTGGCTGCACTTCTAGTTTTTACTCTTCATCACTTTCCACGTATAACTTACCAAATGAACATATAACAATACCGAATCAAAAATAAACAAAAAATTTACTAGAAAGTAAAATCAATAATTTTCAAGTTTTTTTTTTAAAAACATGTGACCCAAGAGTATTTTCAGGCGACCCAGTTTTGAGTCGTGGCCAATAGGTTCGGAAACACTGCACGTCTTTATTAGCTTTTCATTTACTCACTTGTGGGCTTAGTTTTCTTGGTACATCTTCTCCTATGATCTTGAGACATCTTCCGGCCAGTATTCTTGCGATACTGCTACGTGATGTGGCAATAACTCTTTTCAATGGAATGATTGCTGCAATTTCAGAAAATATCTGAAAGCAAAATACAAGAAGAAATTAAACAAAAAAGTTGAAAGTGTAATTGCCCGTATTTGGATAACTTTGGCATTTCACAATTGTATTTTTTTTGTAATTCATTCATTTTTGTACTTTGTAGAATCAGTTAAATTATAGTTTAAATAAACTACTATTTTTCCATAATTGAATTTGTGCTGTAAAAAATAAAATGCCACTTTTAAAACTGTAATTTATATACCGGTATTTTCAAAACCCTTTTTTCAAATATAATATATAATTTCATTCAAAACCAATTCTAATACAACTAACATTTTCCATAAATAAATAATTATCTAAATATTCCATGGAGCAATCAGATTTAAAGGCATATTTAGCTTGAATACAACAAACAAATGAAATGGGTATAATAACTTTAAATGCAGAAGAAAAGAACATTATAAATAAACAATATAACATTTCCAGCTACAAAAATATTAACTCTGAATACTCCACCAACCTATCTATCGCCATGCTCTCTAAATTTGCTAATTTTGACACCAGTTACAAAGAAGATTACCGTAACTTATATAATATCAATGTTACAAATGCTTAGTTTATTTGTAAATAATATTCGATCAAAATCTGTTTGAAAAAAGAGTAAAATCACAATACCTAATGAAAAAAAAGGTGTACGAATTATTCAATAGTTGTTTATGTTATTTATGATTGTTTGTATCTGTCATTTCCACAATAGGATCAATAAAAAAATGAGATTCGGTTTGAAGGAAATCCTAAAACGATTTATAAAATTAATTTTTTTTAAAAAACACAGATAACTGGATTTTTACTGGTTATTAGGCGTAATTTTCAATTCTGCTGTGAGTTAAATTTCTGCAAAACAAGTTACTGACCTTTTTTAGACTTTTTCAAAATTTAAATGAATTACATAAAAAATTATAAAACACCTGGTCATTGACCCACTGTTTTACATGGCAGAAATAGAATAATTCGGTAAAATTTTATACCTATTCAAACCGTTACCAAGCTATCAAGCATTCTTCCTAATTTTCTTCCAAGTTGCATGCAGGAAGGGAATACTGGGCTCCAGTAGCCTATTGCGGTAATGATTTTTTTTATTTTTTTTATTTTAAAAGAGGATAGAAGAAGGAACAGTATTATATATAAAGTTTATATGGTTTAAGATAACTTGATAGCTTTTAAGTACAATATTAAGTATTTTTTTTTTCAATCGAAATTCTACAATTTTTAATTTGAATTGTTATTAAAAAATCGAATTGCACAATACATCATTGCTGTAAGCACATTTTCATATTGTTACAAAATTTTTAATGGATTCCCAAAGTGGTAGAGAAATATTATCATGCCCAGTTAAAAGAAAATAGTTTATAAGTCGTTATTGAGAATTCACGCAGACTGGGGCGTTACATCACCATCATCATTTTATCATATATCCTTAAACAACGATAATACCAATGGTTAATAATGAGTGATACAAAAATATAGAAAATCAATTTGAATTGAGATTAAAAAGTACTAATGAGTGAGCATATGCAGCTAAAAGAAGGTTTTCGGTAATTTTAGTAAGTAAAAAAATTAAATTTTAAAATAATGTGAAATGACTATTTTAGAATATTCAGGACTCCTGTATAGGGGTGTAGTTTACTTAAAGTAATTATATGTTGCCTACTGCCTATGTGTGCTAGTGTATAAGTGCAGAACATTTTTTGAAACATGTTCAAATTAATCATACTTATCTAGTGTGGTTTTCAGTGAAAAGTACTGATATTTGGAAACCTATGTAAGCTGGTGAATAGGTAAGAGCGAATAATTCAAGATTCATTTGAATTGAATCATGTTCATTTAGCATTAAGAAAAATGGTAAATGAATATTCTGTTATGAAACCTCCCAAAAAATGACAATGGATGATTTCATAAAAATTTCAAATTGCACACTTGTATTACCGGGTTATCATTCATATATTTATATATCCGTGAAACTATATAAAATCGAAGCATACTATTTTGATTTTTGCATGCGGCTTTATCACAACTTCAATCTGTACAATGCTCTGTTTAAGCAGACACCACATAAAGAAGTATAAAGAGCTATTTTTAAAAGTAGTTAAATTTTTCAACTTGACATTGTCTACTCAATTTTCTACACTCTGGATGATAGGCATAGAGCAGGGGTGTGCAACAGGCGGCCGGCGGGCCATCACTTGGCCCATCAAGACATTCAGTGTGGCCCTCGTCAACACTCAAGATTTCGCCTCATCAAGCATAAAATCCTAATCCACAGTTTGTTCAAAAAAGCGCTCACATGAGTAGATTTACATATAGATATTTGCTCTTTAGCTGCGTTAAATCTTTCGCTGTTTCGCGGCTTTCGCCTTTATCACTGGAAGGCTAAGCGATAGTCGCATTCCATGTTTCACACCCCTGGCAATGAGTATGAAACCTGAGATAAATAACGTTTGACACCGACATAGTTACATACGCTCTGAGCATTAGGCCCACCATAATGCAGTTTTTAATGGGGATTTGGAAATTATTGAATATTGTAATAATAATACGAGAGCATAAGCTGTATAATCACCTATTCACCAAGCATTATATCATGCACCGCTTAAATTAATTAATATATTGTAATTAATTATAAATTAATTTCATTCATTGTTGCATTTCACCACTAAATATTCTAAATTTATCAGCAGATCAAAGTTGACCGAGCATAAAACATGCATGAGTTTTCTAATAGGAAATGATGAAGCAGTGTTAGGTTCATGCTAAGCTAGGCCAGCCATGATCAGATGATAAATTTGAAAACCGATCATCCAACCCACCAAAAATGCTGTCTCTGGGATCTGTAATAAAAATGTTTGAAATTTTAGTAAAAATGCAAAATAGACCCAAAAATTAACACAAATTTTCACACGACGCATATAATTAATTACATGCCCTTCACCTCGAACAGTTTTTGAACAAAGTTACATGTGACCAATTTAATGGCAAGATCTACAGCAACTACATGATGTTCAAAAAGGAACGCAAAATTAACAGAAGTTAATATGAAATGCTACTTATAACATTTAATGACTGACACCTTTTAACAGTATTGAATTACGGTGAAATGCCATTTGAACATTTCACGACTGATGCTTTTTAACAGTTACGTTTTTGACGTTGCCATTATGAAAAATTTTATCTCAGTTTTGCGTAACTTTTTTAACACCCTGTATATTGATTCATGTTGTTGCACTACATGCCAGCAATACTTAGCAAAAATCACACTATTTGCTACAACTTTCCTATAAATCATGGCTAGCAATACAATTTTTTGATAACACCATTTTTTTTAAACAGCCTATAATATAAACACAATCAATATTATGATAAAATTAGAATTCACATAATAAAGTCTATAAATATAGAAAATTGGACAGGCATTTTGCATAATTAATAATATATATTCATAATCAGGTGGTTTATGCTAGAATATCCATGCAGTCAGCGCTTACAGGAATCCATTAGCAATATTGCCGGTTGAAAAAAAGCAGTTTTCAATATCACAATAGTCAATCAGGCATAATAATAACATAAATTGTTATGTTACATTATTTAATTAAACATACCGGTAGTATTTATATAATCATCCCAGGGGGGGAAAAAACGACTGGATGACTCAATCATAATATGGTCATGCCAAGTATGAAAATAGGTATTTGTTACTAATACATAGACTTGAAAGACTTTTCGAAATTAAATATTGAAAATTTTAGTCAAACGAGATCAGGTATCCATTAACCGGCTTAGCCACGAGCCATGACTTTGTTTTAGACAAGGGAAAATTCCCAACGGACAAATAATTAAATAAAGTCAACAAGGCTGATAACCAAATTCAATTTAACATAGAACAGGTCCCATGAGACACAAACCTGAGACTTATTTGACATCCCGTGGGATTTGTCATAGTATAAAAGGAAGGCTAAATTCCATTACACGCTTTGAAGACTGCTGTCAGAATACCTGTACTTGAAACTTAAAAGGAGGTCATATTTCAGATAGGGTCAAGGGTCAAAGCTGGTTTCGCTCCTCAAATTAATGCCATCTTGTTAATTAAACCACAACGCTTCATGACAGTGTCATAATTTGACTACCAAGGGACAAGCTAAAAGGCGGAGGATAAATATAGCCTATAAGTTATGCTTATGCAGGGGTGGGCAAAGATTTATCGCAAGGATCGGATTCAGAGAATATTTTTTGCCAAGAGCCCGCATGTGACGTCACAGTAATTATTCTCATTTGCTATAGCTATTGGAAGCAGACATTATTGAAGCGGAGACGAAAAAAAAAACATACGTTCTTAACAATTTATAGTTTAAAAATAAAGCTAAAAGAAGTCATTTTTTTCACACTACATAACGGTATTTGTCCTAACAACAACAAGACTAAGAACAACAACAATGCTTTAGTAAAACAATCCATATGGCCACTTTGTGTATAATATTGAAATAGTTTATATTTATCATTTAAAAACTGATCTAATTTCGAGATCTGCATTCAAAGACAAAAATATTTTGACATATCATGTCAGCAGTTTTCTTTCAAATATACTCCTATTAATTATATTTCGATAACAGAGAATAGAAAATACTCAGAAAACGTATTACTTGTTTAAAATAGAGATGCAAATCAGCAAAATAAGTGGTTTTAAAATATGCATGAGCGCGTATTTGCAGTGTGGCTGCGGATTAAATATGTATAACTAATATCAAGAATCCGCAATTGAATTTAACAGTGAAATATTGAGTTTTTGAGCAGATATTGATAACGACAGTGCTATGGTATCTATTTTACTTAAAAAGCATCAAAATTTCAGAGGGATTTTTAAAAAGTTACAAAATTAAGTTTCAAATATTTTCCATTTGCCAGCAAAATATGCGAATTGAGGTTATTTTCAAATGACAATACAGACTTATTACCATAATTCAATCTGATTGATGCGACAGATCAGGTTCAGTTACAACCTTATCAAACGGTATAATGCTTTATAACGCTTTGGTTAGAATGTTCTGCTTTTATTTTGTCCGAACTAGCCCGCCAAAATTGCACTTCAGTAGGCATTGTGATGGCCGATGATAATATTACTGTGATTTTGGTTTAATACAATTTGCTACAAATTGTGTTTGTGATGTATGTATGGCTAGAATTATACAAATTGAATCAGATTATTAAAAAAATTTTTCAATGCTTCAAGATACAAAATATATTGCACTCCATCAATGACAGTCATATCAGAATACCGAATACCGTCTTCTAACAATGATAATTTATGAGATAATTAAGAATTGGTTTGGAAATCTTCTTATATCCCTTAGCAGTTAGCACCCAGTCGTCATGAAAGCAAGCCAATACATTCCGGACCAGGATATTTTTAACAAGAACACTTGCAAACGTCTGAATCAATAATTCAGTGTAAAATTACTGGTCAGCTCAAGGATGTCACACTTAGAGGGAACATAATTGTTGTAAAATAGGTTTGAAAAATTAAAACAAGACTGTAGAATAGATAACTATTCAGAACATAGGAATATAATGAACTCAGTAACCTATACTGAAAATATACTTGCCGCACAAACAAATTTAATACAAAAAAGGAGTGATTTGGAATAAATGTATGAACAATGGTAATCTAAACTTACAGGAATGACTCGAAACAAAACGAACTATAAAATAATGAAACTGTTTGGCGATACCACAGTGGTGAAAATGAAGCAGAGATTTGAGTATTCAAAATTTAAAATGAGTGTTATTTTACTATTTAATCATACTCTAAATACAACCAATAATCTAATTTATTTTCGGCATAGCGGAAAAACAATAAATATAATTCCTGCAAATATTTTATTTAACTTAATACATTATGGAAGAATTTCCGACAGGTAGTCAAATTGTCAATTTTATTGCTGACTATGGCAAACTTTTTTATGGAATGAATGAATTTTTAAATAATTGATAAGGTTTCTGAAAAATTTATCTTAACGAATAGTGAGAACAAAGGAATCATACTGCAGTCTGCAGAATATCCGTGGGCGCAAGGGACTTGTGGTTGAAACATTAGACTTACCGGTAACTACGTTAGCCCCACAAGTTCAAATCCACCTTCCACTACCTCACCATGGGTGTGATAATTTGAGAAGGCTGTGACAATAATGAAAGATTCAGGTACTTTCAAAAAATAGAGTATCTCCTTACATTAGGATTAGGACTACACATGGCCTTGTTCAAAGAAAAATGTGTGTAATGTGTTGTATACTTGTATATAAAAATAAAAAAATAATATTACAATACTAAACTGTTATCAGAAAGTAAAAAGAAAACCACACATACAGTAGAAATGGTTTGTTGCTTTAGCAAATGACCCAAACCAAAGGGTTCCCAACTTTCCAAATTCCCAACGCATCTATTTTCCGTAATACAAATCTCAGTGCGTTGGAAAAAATACTTGACTATACAAACATTTATTTTTGCTTGAGCCCGTCTTTGTGCACATAAACAATATTGTATTTCCAATACAGACAGTCTTACCTCACTATCAATGTTAATTTAAACAGCCTTGATCTTTTTACGTCAAGTTTAAACAACAGTCAGATAAGAAGTGATATTTTGTGACGTACTCGAAATTATCTTCGAGTGACGAGCGCCTTGAATGTTATAACAAAATGTGGTTTCAATTGAAAAAAACATTGTAACCAAATGCCAAGTTTCCTCGGCACCGGGAGCTAAATTTGCCTATTTAGTTGTTGTTAGTTTTAGTTGGGAGTATTTAAAGAGGAATTTTATATCAACCACAATTTACAGTCTAATATATAAGTGAGTAAACGGAGTTATAATCCAATTCAAGTTTCCAATTTTTCCTGCAATTTTGAGATTAACTTTTTCCAATTGGTTGATTTTTCTACGAAAGTACAGTCCATTATGATAAGAGAAATATAGCAGACAATTCTCAGTAATAGTCTGGATCTTACTGGTTGATGGTATAAAAAAAAATGCAACGTCTGCATAAGATGGAGTATGTTCAGAAAATAAAAATCTGGCAGAGGTGGAAAATGATGGTAAAATAATTTTGAAACGTCAGATAATAAAATTACTGCACTGGTGTAGTATTTGCCAATTTGACAGTGAAATCGAGATTGTCATTATATTTTGGTCCAAAATACACAAAAGGATATGGTCCAAAAATTATCCTATTATAATACTTTAAATCAAAATCATCTGTAAATCATAATAGTACAAAGCGATACTATTCAGGCATGGAAAACTATATTGACACGATACAACAGTATATTATTTAGTACAAAGTTCTGTTACAAATTCAAAATTTCGTTAAAAAAATTAATTTTCAATATATCTGAACTACCGGTAGGTTTATTTTATTTTATTTAGTGTGTATTTAATTTTTTTTTTCATTCGATTTAATATGACTGTATAATATGCCTATTGCCTACCATTAATTCCACAAAGCACATCAAAGTTCATATACTTAATTTATTTCACGTACATGCTTTTTTTTAAACTAGAACGTTACAAAAAACCATGCGGTAGGGCGATCTCGTCACACATATTGAAAATGGTATGTACACAAATAGGCTGTTCCACTTAAAAGACTCATAAAAAAATGTTGATTTCTGTTATTCGTCTAAGATACTGATGTATATTTGTTGATCAACTGGTGCATAACAAAGCGATGACATAATTTTTTTCACATTAAAAATTTCATGAGAAATTATGTGCAATAAGAATGATCGATGGATGGCCATGCTTATGGTATAAATATATTGCTCATACTTGTTTGAGTACAAAATAATAGTAGTTGAGTAGTGAGTGAGTTAGAGTGACTAAAATGTGTTATAAATAACTGTAAAAATATGGTGAGCTTATTAAATCATTGTTTATCCTAACTTTATTGCATTTTGAAATCCAAGCTCATTAATTAAATATCGTATTCTGCAAGATTTGAACCAGTTTGGTCTATATTTGATATTCCATATTCAAAAATATTAATTTAGAAAGTGCGGTATTCCATTAGTACCTACATAATTCAGATTTTAGAAATCCCGGACTTGATATATACTTTCTGCTTATCAAAAACTATCTTCGTTCTACTATGTTTATTGTAATTTATAGTATTTCATTAAACAATGCACAAATATATAGACAAAAAAGTTAAAATGTAAATTAATTAGGGCCACTACAAAACTCAAGCCAAAAGAATTGCAGGCTACTGAATGCCGTATGAAGTTGTGCCAGTTGATTGGAAAAAAGGGTGAAATACGGCGCTGTGAATTTCAGAGAAATTTGAAAATAGGACTAAATGAAGGCAATAGGCTGTCCTTCTAACAACAACCTTTTCTTAACTAAGATACTCATTAGTTACAGAGAAAAACTTTTTTTTTCTTTAAAAATCTCAACAATTAGCGAACGTCCATTTTGTGTCTAATATTTAAATCTTATTAATAATACCTGTGTTTTCTGTTGCTTGGCTTTTATACTGGCTTCCATCGCAAAATAAAACGATGCGAGTGCTTGTGCTTCTGGTCTTCCAGAGATGAGTAAAGGAATCATTCGTTGAAGGAAACTTGCTGTTGAAAAACCAAAAAACACAAATTGAAATTGAGGATAAATTCAGAAAAAAGGAACCATTTTTATACCTTTGACATATTCAGTAGAAACGTGTGAGCTCAAATATTAGTACTCCTGAAGTATGCGTACAAAGATGGTGGACACCGGAACGTAGTATGTGCACCGGTTAGGGTTAGGTCATAATTATAGGTACGAATACGACGGAAGTCACTTGGCTAGTCCCTGAACTCATAATAGAACTAAAATAAGGAAAATTGGAACAAAATTATGGCCTAACCCTAACCTGGTACATATACCATGTTCCGGTGTCCCCCATTTTAATACGCATACTTGCAGCACCCAAATATTTAACAAGCTTTTTATTATTCTTATTTTAATATTTAAATCGTTTTCCCTCTATGTTTATTATGTGTTACCCCACATTGCTGTTGCCTCATGCTTTTTTTTAAACTCATATTTGTATGTTGATTGATTCAAGATAACAGAACTATAAAAATATTGGTTTACAAAAATGCTGATAAAATTTGGAAAGGAGTCATAATAACATTCATCGCATGTCTGCACCTCAAGATCTACCCGACTTGAACTTAATACGAATTCCTTGAGTCGATACTAGGCCTACTACATATAGAAGACAATCAAAATGAAAGATTTTCAGTAATTTGGTCATAAAGTAGCATAGACTCACTCAGAGATGAGTGTTCATTAAGAGTGTGACAACCTTGCTTCTAGCAAACTCTCTAAAAAAAATACTAAGAAATAGCGAAGCATTCAAGAGTAATTTATTCAGCTTTTGAATTCATCAATCTGATCTATTTTTCCCAGAATAATATCATACGTGCAAATTTTCACTTGACATTATAAAACCAGTATTACATTGTAAGATGAAGATCACAGGTTACAGAAAAAAAACAATAATTCCGATTACACTTCTTGAATAGCATTGATTAATTTTAAATCTCAGGAACTACCGGTAATAGACTTCGAAAGTTCATCAACCGAGTAATAGTAACAATATTCATCAGAAAATCAATAGAAATCTTCTCACCTGATCTACCTTGAGCGTGTGAAGGATTAGATTGTGCAAACTCATAAGGATCGTGGGATTGAACGAATGGTTCCACTAGTTCCAATGTTCCTGATTTCAAAACAGCTTTCTCAACTGAAAATATATATCATTTTATAGAAATTTGTGACAAGAGTAAAATGAAAACATGTGTTCAGTTATAATTATATTGATAAATATTATTAATATAAATAAATAAACAAAAAGCAGTAAAATTTGGAAAGTAATGAATATCTTTAATAATATATATTTTAGTCCCACATTTTTATACCTATTTGTCAATTTAATTGAAATATACATACATGTGCTACATAAAGGCAAATATTATGTAATGATCGGTATTTCTTTAACAAACTCATTGAAAGACAAATCAAAAGGTTTTCCTGATGAAAGAAAGTGAAACATCAGACCAATTCAAAGGCTTAAATGAAATTGATGCTACACAATTCAATTTAAAATACAATAGATTGTTTGATCAATATTTTATTCATGTTTTGAATGGGTTAAGTATATTGTTTTTGATAGATATGTTTGCGTTCTCAATATTGTTACAAGCGTGTTTGAATATAAATAAAAATATAGTTTTACAGGATGATGGAACATTGTCCAAAAAAGCATACATTCCTATAAAAAGATTCAAATTCAATCACAGAGTTACAGGTGCTTACTTTGTTACTTATTATAAGCTTATAAGCCACAAGGTTGGAATTAGATCATTGGTTCAGTACTTGGCTTCTGAATAGTTGTCACTTATTGAGTTCAGCACAATTTAATTTATCCAACCTTGGTTGAAAATATAAGCGTGGTCTTCAAAGTAGAGTTATGAGAGCTTGAACATGATTTCGTGAAAATACAATATCAAAGTCACCGTATTTTACGAGCATAAGGCACTCTTTAAAAAATACGTTTTTTCTCAAAAATCGGTTGTGAGCCTTGTAAGCCTAAAGTTTGGATCAGTTGCGCCTTATAGTCTGATATGCTTTATGTATGGAAAAAAACAATTTAGGCAAATCATTGACTGCGCGCCTTATAATACATTGCGCCTTATGGTCTGTAAAAAATGATATTTTATTTAGGTATATAAAAAACCACTATTCACATTCGAGAAGAAAAGAACCGAACAATAAAACTCTATTGCTATTATTATTTAGTTCAAGGACTATGTATGTTTTGCGTCATAAAATTTCCAATTTACGAAGACAAGAAAATCAACCTCACATGATTAAGAATGTAGCGTTATTCTTAAGTCACTTAAGTATGCAGCGATATTCAGCATAAGCACGCCTACAGGCATAACGCTGAAATCTATTATTTGGTTACAGGTTCATTTATTTGGTGAACCAGCCAAAATCAAATTAATTATTGCGACTATTCAACAAAAAAGTTTACCGAGAGGATTAGCAGCAAGTACCGTCACAGCAAGACAGGAATAATATCGACAAAAATCATCAGTACGGAATGCAAGAGGAAATAGCCAATCAGGAGCTCCTTTTACAACCATTCTATAAACAAAATAAAAAGATCAATTTATTTGTTACTGGTTTTTTTGTTATAGGAATTCTCAACTACATAAAAAATCTCCATTGAAATTAGAAGAAACAAGAGAGCAATGCTTAAAACTATGTCGTACATTATACACAATGACACATGAAGGTGCTCCCATGAATCGCAAAAAACACAAAATTTGGGGTGAAGTGTAGGCCCGTAGGACTCTAAAACAAAATAACTTTTTCCATGTTCAATTACTAAAATACGAAACCGAATGATCCCTAAGAAACGAAGAAAAGCTTTACTCCAGCAAATATCAAAAAAGTTATCAAAACAATCCATCATTCCATTTCAAGTCCAAAAAAACATAAAACTTCGCTGAAGCAAAAATTTATAAGAATGTATGATAATGACTTCGAGAGGTCGTGTTTGATATGATTAGCCGTCTTATCAGTTTTTTCCTCTCTCCCGGAAAAATATGTAAATCCTATCTTCGTTGACTTTTCCTCTTGGGCTAATATGTAGAGTTTCGTGAACACAACTTGGCACAAAAGTATATTAATCATTAATCCACTTAAATTCACAATACATAATATGTAGTGTACTTATCATGCATTAACAATAACTTACTTTCTGTGGTTAATGCTTCCCCCATATATAGCTGCATTAGCGAGAGCAGCAGCACAATGGCGAGCTGTCCATAAATCATCGTGTCGACAAGCGTGAACAACTGTATCCAATGCTCCCATGTCAATCAGTCTTGTGCATGTGGCTTCTGAATCCTATAAAGATAATAAAACATGGAAATCATTAAATGAATTAGAGTTTGTTTTATCAACATGTCATTGTTATACTAATAATGATAGATCGGAGATGTGTATAATTAATACTGCCCATAGTCGAGTAGCATATTCAAGAATTTTCTATTCCAATTTCATCAATATACATCAATATACCAGTATATTATATGTATTCACCAAGAATAGAAAAAGGAGTTCATATAAGTTTTGAAAATCATTAAGGGGTGGCTAGTCAGATAACTGAAAACACTGTTCTGAATGAATTCATTCAGAAAAAATCACTATAACTGCCTTACTGGTGTATATATAACAAAATATACTCCAAACAATTATGTCTTCTTCGTGATTTCTTTTTTCATTAAATTTCACTCTCAATAACACTCTTGTTGAGTATTGGAACACAATTTCAAATATTCGATTAATAAAACTTCTATAGGCTATTTGTCACATAAACTTAAATTCAATAGCATGGAATGTATGAAATGAAACAATACGAGGAAGATTGAATAAAAATTACACAAAGTACTAAATTCAAAGCTTTGATGTGGTTTTAATTTCAGCTATTCTAGATTTGTTAAATAACAATAAAGAACTTGAGATATTTGAATTACGACAACGACTTTATTCATATCTAAGCATTTATTCAAATTTCAAATTTTCAATTTACAAAATGATCATTTTATTTGTGTCATGTACATGATGTACGTTGTTTTGACTTTTCACACACTTGACGAATAGCAATTTAGAGAACGACAATCAGATACCTAAGACAAGTTCATTGCCTCGGGCAAATTACAGTGAAAGGAAATTGTAAATATTGTACACATTCCAAAACCAGCCTCCTGGCAATTAATAATAGAGCGCAGCATGAAGGATTATTAACTTGCAACTGAAACTATATGGTATATGTGATACATCAACACCAAATTTTTTTTAAACTAGAAGACTTGTTTTATTTCGAGTTTCGATCACAAATTTGTGCCCGCTGGTATTTGTACAAACTTCAATATAAAATAGATAATGTTATTTATGGTAATGTTATTTATTTACCTACCCTTTAGAGACTAGAGAGTAGAGAATCATGCAAAATGGCACAAAAATTTTTGAAAATCTCTATACTTCAATAATAAATAAAAGTTATCTTTTCTATATTGCATTAAATTATTAAGACTAAGCCTTGACCTTTCTGCCACACAGCTTAAAAATAAAATATTTCATAAAAACAATCCAAATTAAATGCAAATAACATTCAATACATGACACAATGCATGAAATTGATAAATTACAAATATATATTAAACCACAGTTATCTGCAATTGTGAATAATAATAGGACAATATTGAAATAAAAATATCCTAGAACTGTATTTTGATGATTGTCTGTGAAAAATCCATGCGTATCTATAATAATAACATGAATGATATAGATTTTAAACAATTTTGACAATTATTTTAAATCTGTTATACAAACACACCATAAAATTTCATTTACACATATTCAAAATATTTTGCTTAGAATTAGAAAAAAAAGAATATTAAAAAAAGAAAAGTCAGGATAATTCATGGGATTACTAATATAAATTGAATAAAGGATATTATTAGCCATCAAAATCCCAATATATGACTAACCCACAACTGAAATATTTGACATAAATAATAAAGTAACAGTGTAATTCAAGATCAATTTACTGTTTTTTGGATTTCAGAATGTTGATTTTTAAAAAAAGGAAAAATTCAAACCAAATAAAAAGTGGATCTCGAGTAAGAAATCCATATTTAAGAAATGAAGATACACAAGGCAGGAAATGAAAAGGAAATTGTTGAGACTCGATTATTTCCACTTTGATTTCCTTGTGACAAGATATTTATTTAGCTTGATAAGACTCGGAAAAAGATATAAACAAAATAAAAGTGATAGCTTTTTAGCATATAAATACTCTATATTAAAAAAATTTGCATTCAACCAATGGCATCTTGTGATAACAGTCATCATAGAATAGCCATCAACTATTAATAATACCAAACCTCACTTGATCAATTATTTAAAATTACCAATGCCTACCTTAAACAAAGATTCCAGTATGCTGACATTTATTCTGATAATATCAATATCTTCTTTTTGTTTTGTATATTTTGTTAAAATTTCAAGAGCATTCTTTGAAATGTAGTGCCTGAAACATAATGAATAATAAGCAATATTGACGTTGCTTTAACACTGATTGGAGATAGGGAAAGCATTTCAGCACAGAACATGAGTATCAGCAATACAATTTTTCAAATTTCAAAAGAGGGTTAATATTGTTGAACTAAATAACAGCAACACAATCTGGCAACTTTTGCACCACACCTAAATAAAATCAAACTGAGAATATTAAAATTTTGACACCTATTTTATAAAGTGTTAGGTAGATCAGATATTTACACATTATAAGTCTTTGAAAATCGGACAAAATAAATTTTACAACGAGTAATTATAGGCAGCTACAGAAAATTTCATAAGTGGGCTGTTGATTGTTTAAAATGTATGTCAGAACATTAACACTTACAAAGCAATTTTTGACTACTAAACCTAAAATATCAATTTTTAAGACGTTTTCATCTTTTGATTAAAAAAAATAGAAAACAAATTCTGAATATCTTTTTAGTTCTGTGAATTTCATAAGAAGATATACCGGTAAATTGAATTCAAGTGAAAATTTAAATTAATACAATAGAATTTGAAAGAATATTTACTGAAATTACCATTTTTGATTGTCATTCTCACAGAGTTTATTTATTCATAATTTTTAATCAAAGTAGGCCCAATCATGATTTTTGTTCAGAAATATTTTTCAAAAATTTTAGATTTCAAAAAATCTAAAACACACTTGCACCTTATTAAGTAACCTTCCAAAATATAGAAATAGTATTTGCTACATTTCACACAAACAAATGTTGAAATTGCAATTACGTTTCCTATACAAAATTCAAATAGTTTGAAATGCAGACAATAAAACGATTTTTTAAAAATTTTTGTGTGAAAATTATATTTTGTAGTCTACCTGTTATCAGTCGTTAAAATCTGGCTCAACAATCGAGCACATTCTCTTTGTAAAGTGGGAGTTGCAGCTTCTAATTGTAAACTATTTACAAGAAATGAAACAATTTTTTCTCTTCTTAAAGTATCGCCTATCTCATAGGCAAGATCACGGCCAATAACTGGCAACTGCCATGCTGCTTCCACTACCTAAGAAAAATAGGTTATATAAATTTAAGTTAGGCGAATAGCAAATTGCAGATGTAAATGCACAAAAAATACTTCTTGTGCACTTGGTTTGTTGTTAAATATAAAACAAATCAAGTCAAAGTGATTTCACAACCAACTTCATATTAGACACTATTGACATTCAGACACTGTTCTTCGCAAAAAAATCTTCAGCAAATAAGAAACCTCAATAGCAGTTTTCCTTATATGAATAATAGTCAAGTACATGAATATAAAAAACTAGCAAACCTCATGTATTTCCTTTATATATTTTGCTCTGGCATTATCATCTGTTGTTCGATCAAAATGTGAGATGGCTTTCGAAAGAACGGATCTCAACTTTACATCAGGTGGTTTTTGACCTAAACAAATTTTATCAAAAATCATTATTAATCATGAGTATCTATTTTACGAAGAGAATGAGAGATCATTCCAATATCTTTTATTACCAGGCATAATATTATGCATAGATGAACAAATGTGATAATTTTTATTATGAAAATGGCATTCAAAATTCTGTAAATTAAACCCTAAATGAAACAGTGAGTTCAAATTTGAATAATTCTATTAATTACATTCTGAAATATTAAAAAATCAGTAAAACCTTTATTATCTTTTCATGTTTATTGTAGTAACGGAGTATAACAATTTTTCTACACCATCCTAGATTTGGGCTATACTTTAAAGATTTTAAAAATGATGAATAAGCTATTATTTTTGATCATTTCAGATTGTAATCCTTCTGCAGCCTAACATCAAAGGCAAGATCATGTAAAAACATAAAAATCAATAATATTATTCCCACGCATTTAAAAGATTAGTGAATAAGTGATAATGAAAATAAATTTAAGACAGAGAGGTCAGTTGGGGTCAGATGAGTTTAGAAGATAAAGTCATTGAAATCAGAAGGAATTAGAAAATATAAAAAAAAATTCGAATCATGTGATAGAAAAGGCAGAGACAATAAAAATGATTCGTAAAAATTTTGTTATCATTCAAATTAAATTATTCCTTAGATTAATGAGACATAAAAGAGGATGTTAATAGATTTTAAAAATATGAACGTTCAATAAAAATTATATTTTCATGGGTACAGAGGGGGGGATCAAAAAATAAACTATTAAAGATATTTGATAATAATTATTAAAGAAACAATTTTTGTGATAATATTTTTTCCTTCGGTAATCAGATTATTTTTTTATGAGGAATCTAATGGTGACGTTTTATTATAGCGCTCCCTTTTAGCTAATTGTGCAATGCCAGTTCGCCGATACGAAGGCTGTCTTTCGATGGAGGAGTATGCATTCACTGTTATAATCAATGCCTTTTAATGAGGGGCTATTCTTGGGATTTTTCAACTGTGACATACTGAAGTAGCACGCACAGTTACAGCATTTGAAGCATCCAAAGAATGTAATGACTAGAGCAATATAGCCTATTCAAACTAACAAAATTGTTTCATGAAACAATGAAATTAGTTGATGACAATATAAAACAATTTCTCTTACTTTTCATGCTGAATGATCTGCTTGGTTTTCTGTTGAGAATATCACTTGATGATGTGTAATCATAATCACGAGACCTTTTATCCGACATGATTCAATTGTGAGCTTTGTGAAATACGTAGATGGAGTCGGTATATAATCAGTCTCAAAATCGTTTCTAAATCCAACTACTTATTTGGTCAAAGTCGCTCCACCGTTTCCAATCTTAAGAGATCATCTTGACTTACTATTAAGTTTTTCAAAATTCTTGATACAGACAGTAAATTTTAAAAACGTCATAAGCTGTAAAGCTGCTAGAAGCACATCAGTATCAGTGTATGAGACAATTCAGTCAAAATCAGAGGGCAAACATCAGTCGTGATACAGCAATAAGTTCTGAAGTTCTAAGTTATGAATACAACATGCAGACATATTGACATAAACCAACACGACAGTCCGATAGTAATATCAGAATATTGGGCTTGAGCCTAACAAAATTATAATTAAAATGAACCTTAAAAATATTCATGCTCTTATCTAAGCTTATTTGAGATTTTGTCTAAAAACAGAAACAACATATTTGGGTAGAGATAATTACCATACAGCCATGGCTGAAGCTGGGAAACCAGCACCATTACCTATTCCTGTATTCACTTTCAACTTTTAAACGTGCACAACCTAAACTTCTGATTCACGGTCCCAGGATTTGCTCTTGAATTCGAAATAATACAGTGATAAAAGACAAACAAATGGCAATGCGAAGGGTTTACGTGAAAAATGGCTAAATTGCAGCTCTCGGGCGCCGCATATTGAATAAAAGATAAATGACTTACATCGTTTCAATCATTGAGGTGTATGGTTTCAATCAACAAAAACATCAAATCAAATAAAAAAATAAAAATCTAGTTAATCTATCTGACTGAGCGGTCGCAGAAAATGCAATTGTTACGTCATTGGTAACTTATTGGACACGTAGTGGACATAACGATCGTTTCAATATTATGTTGTTGTTGTTCTTGTTGTTCTTGTTGTTGTTCTTGTTCTTTGACACGTTTTTAAAAAGTCGCTTTTCTCTTCGAATACTGGACCAATTGCTTTGAAATTTTCAGTGGTTGAAGATTAATTTTTTCGCTAGAAGGCTATTACTTTTGTTTATTCTTAAATTTTATATGAATCCTATGAAATATGATATTTCATACAAAATTTCGCGGTATTTATTTTTACTCATGGGAACACTGTTTTACACTTATTTCAAGCGGTTTCGCGATCGATTGTCTTGCTCAGTACTACAGCTACTGTAGGTCGGTACTGGTAAGTTGCCATACCGGTGCCGTAACGCAGTGAAATTGACTTATTCCTTCCGCGGTATTACTAATGCTGCAATGCAAGTTTTATAGCCTATCGTATGCGGAACGGAATATCAGACCTACAGGTTCGGTACCGGTACTGGTAGCTCAGTACGTAAGTACGATACTGGTACTGGAGCCGGTACCGGTGCCTTACCACAATGAAATTACCGTAACTTATTCTTTCACGGTCCTACCAGTGCAGTAATGCAAGCGTTGTAGCACTTGTAGCCTACTATATTTGTTTATTTTGATGAGAGTCTACTGGAAACAACATAAAATTTGAAAGGGAAGAATTGTTCTGTGATCAATTATCTGTCCTAAAGTGTAAACAACATAAAATTTGCAAGGGAACAACTGTTCTGTGATCAATTACCGTATATGGCCTACAGTGTACAGGTAAGATGCTGCCTGACTGCTAACTCAGTACCGCTTGACACGTTTTTAAAAAGTCGCTTTTCTCTTCGAATACTGGACCAATTGCTTTGAAATTTTTAGTGGTTAAAGATAAAAATTTTCTCCAGAAGGCTATTACTTCTTTTTTCGCTATGACGTCATCAAAATTATGTGACTCTACGTGTCCATATATTTGAGCATAGCTCTCTTGTTTCTGATTGGTTATGGTTAGGGCAACGACTAGGTTAGGGTAATAAACAAAGAAATCGATGCTCGGGAGAAATCCAAATGTTTAGTCTGTAGGTAGCTAAGCAATAGGCTATTGTTGCAAATTGTTGTTGTTTGGCGTTAAAAAAAACAATATTGCGATTCTGATTTTGGATCAGCGGTGGCACGGCGGTGTGGCTCATTGTGCTACGCGTTAGGAATACGCTTGCCACCGCACCTCTGATTGCTATGCGTGGGTTCGCAGGTTCGAATCCCATATGGCAAGGCTGCCCAACTCGCGGGCCGCATGCAGCCCGCCGAAATGTTTTTTGCGGCCCGCCCTATAAAGTTTGTAAGCAGACTTTTTAAATTTTTACATGCATTCTACTATACATAAGTAGCTTTCGTGATTTTGATGTAATTATTCCTGCCATCTATCTATGTTCAAATGCCGGTTTTTAATACTACGTATGTGTCAAGTCTTGCGCCCTAGTGGAGAACAACGTCCTGTTTTTTTTATTTCTCGCAAAACTGTGCACTCTGTTCGACGAACTATAAAGATACTGTGCGATCATTGGGGACAAACGCTGAGCGCAAATATAGGAATGAACTTGGAGCCTAAGTTTGCAAATTAATTTCATTCTGATTGCTTTCTTTCGTGTCGGCTTTGATCGTCTTTATCGCCAACGTAAAATAAAAGTCAACAATATCTTGGGTACTGGTTCCCGGACTCGTTGTCTTTTTATGTTTGTACTTTCGTTCATGTTATGTTCGCATTGAAAAATTTTTTGGAAATGTCGTCACTGCGTATTCGTCAATAATTCTGATGAAATTGACGAAATGGCATTGCTACTAATTAGTCACAAATCAGTATATATCGACTATTCGTTCAGAAATCTTCGTTATGTTACTTCATTAAATACTTGCATTAGTGTTTCAGATTCTACGAAACGGTCGACTAAAACTTGATATTGCCGCGACATTGACGCACATTATGCTAATTTAAACATTAAAGCAGTATCGTAGGATTCGTTGCTACTGAAAATGAATGATGGAAAACATTATAACGCAAATATAACACTCAACTTTGACGTGATGTTTGTGTATATTGCGTGGTCGCCGAAAACCCGCAAGTGTGTTGACACACACTAATATTCAACCATTTATCAATAAAAAGTACGTCAGCTAACTTTAGCTTAGTCTTACCCAGCTTTTTGAGGCCGTTTTCTGATTAAATCAAAGCTCTCCGAGCGACAAGACAGACATCTTATTGACATTATCAATTATTTTATAAGGCTACTTAAATTTCAGTTACAATAAGTGCAACCTATAACTACAAACATGGCATCGAATGGTTGTAAAATTAGAAAAATTAAAAGACGAGATGATGACCTCGAGAAGAACGAATTAGATCTCTGCAATAAGACACGAAGAAATTTCGCGAGAAAGCAAACTCCTGTCGCCAAAACTGAAAAAACGAAAAAGTAACAAAATGTTTGTCGAAAAACCTGTAGTTGCAGATATAAAGCGAGGAGTTAACGTCAATTTAAGACGGAATAAAAAGAAAAAATTCGTCAAAGGCAAATGTCTCTTTTCTAACTGTCTTTGGTTAAGTTCGGTGGTGGTCTAGTTAGATTCTACTCAAAATAATTGTTTGTTGTGAAAATTAAATGTCCTTCAAACTAAACAATATTATTTTCACGATGACTAACCCCGAATAATAGTAATGTTTTCAAATGAAACTTCACAGCACCTATGGAATCGTTTGTAATATTTTTATTACTTGACAAATAACAACCTCCGAAAATATTTCATCTAAAGATTTAGTTGAAAAATACCACTGAGAAATAAATTCCTTTAAAAGAAGTTGAAATCTTAATCAGTGCTGGGTTCAAAAATTTAAAATTGGGTTTTCTCTCGTATCGCCCCACCATCAACAGGTTCTACGGAACGCCAAATATCATCGTAATCGTTAACTACGGTGTTGCATTTGTTTAACGTCTATAACAAGAACGCGTTCATTCCAATAACGAGTTCGCACGAACCCGCTGAATCGTACCACGAATCTTAATTGCAATTATATTTTCGGGTTTTCCCAATATATATTGCTTCGAAGTCCTACTTTACAATACTAGGTTTCAAAATCACAACTGAAAGAACAATATTTTAGATATTTCAATATGCTTTGTATGAATGAAAAAAAAACGTAAGGCTCATAAAATCAAATAAAAACAACGATACCACGCAGCAAGTTTTTAATATTATGACGGTATACAATTGGCACGGATATAATTTAAAGGAAAACTCAGTCACGAAGGAGAAAAATTTTGTTTCATTCCCGAAGCTAATTTTATTTTAACCATATTATATATATTTACTCATTTCTTCGGACTAAATCTCATAACGATCTCATGACTCATAACGATGTCAATAACGTTCGGGATAAAAGCTGTCAATGTTCCTGTATCTCAAGTTTAGTAACGTTCCATGTCAGACATCTTTGTATGTAAAATATATTGTTGACATATTATTAAAAGTTGTATATTTATATATGGGTCGTAAATACAATTCCTCGCATAATTTGATGAAAGATATTACAAGGTCTGATTCAGATTATATTCAAAGGGGTGAAGAGCTCTTTTTAAGCCAAATATAACAATGATTGGAAATTAGAGCATTACTTGAACTATTCACTTGATTGCCGCTGTATGGAGTATCGTTACAACATTTGCGCTGGCGCTCCTAGTACTGTTATTAAGCTTCATGACCGATATCAAGAGTTGCAAATATGACCGGTCTCAAACTTGTTTCGGGATGCGTCATTTTTCCCACCATTGAAGTAGCGAGGCACATTGGCTTAAAACTTCGATGGTTAACAGCAGCAGCAGTAAAGGCAACTTTTTAAAATAAATCCATTTCTTCAATTTGTTTATGATTCTTGCAGCAGGGGTTCGCAAACTTTTGATGTTACGGAGCCCTTGAAGAGGTTGGTTATTCTTCACGGAGCCCCACAAATAAATTTGCAAAATAATGCAGACAAACACCACATTGTTATTTACTGATTAATATTCCTGAGTAAGTTAAAATTACTTTGGGCTAATGACAATACATACTTTAAGTAATTTAAATGCTCAAACTTTTTTATCTAAATATCGCAGATAAAGTATATATATTGGGGCTGTAAATTTGAAAACTTGACAAACACATTAATGAACTCGGGGTCAAACCCTCTCCCTTTTGATATTTTTGGAAGACTGAAGAAGTTGCTCATAACATGCGCGATTGCATTTTGTCAAAATCGCCGATTGTTTCCGTCAGCGTGGAGTATTTTTTAGACAGTAAACATCTTTATGTGGATGTTTGTTCTCACTTAATCACAAATTTTCCTTGCTTGTATTGTTCCCCGAGGACGACGATAATTACTTTTTTGTTCTCGTGTGGAATTGTGAGTTCAGTATGGAAAACGAGTTAGTATATTATAATCATCGGCGACGAGATGCTAAAAATAGTTAATAAAGAGGTGAATGGCAACCAAAATTTCTTGATTGAAAACCGGTATTATAAATATTAAAACCAAAACGGAAGATAATATGATAAGTTTTGTTTTAACGGACTCTTTTTCAGATATTTTAAATCACAAACTTTGATGTTATGTTAGGTTATCTATGAAGTTATATCATGTGAGTTACCTAAATCGATTCAATTCAAGTTAATTTGTATGACGCAGTCAAGTGACGTCATAATGGCGCACTGTGACTTAGGCAGAAATGTGTC